ACATATCATACGCAATTGTATTGATACTGAATTGTGGAATAAAATTGAAGTGTTTGTTAAAATTTCAAAGTACTACTTTGTTTGCCAATCAGCACGCGACAATACGCTGTTCAAACTATTGAAAGAAATTGTGTGGACTGTCGATAAGGCGGGCATTTGTAATTTTAAACATAAATTATAAGTTAAAAAATAACATAAGAGCCAGAGAAAACGTAAATATAAGTATTGAACTGTTTTTGTATGGTATTTATGATCTATTTGAATGACACAGCGTTGCAAGCAAACAAATCATAATGCGCTAGCGCGCATTTTGTTGTTTGCTTGCAAAGCTGTGTCATTCAAATAGATCATAAATACCATACAAAAACAGTTCAATGCTTAAATCATGCAAATTATTGAGTGTGGTGTGGACATCGCTGTCAAGAAATTGCACTTTTGTTTTCAATTTAGACTTCAAACATCTTGTTCTTCTTTTAATGATGTACTTGATATAGATTTGACTCATTTTGAAAAAGAATCCAATTTCAGCATGCTATCAATTTACCTATTGTCTGAATTAGTCTTCTACAGAATCTGTAGTATCTTAAAACTTATTCCAATTGATAGAAGGAATTCTTCGATATTTACGACCCTTCATGAAATGCTTTCGTAGCTTTGCATTATGGATAATATTTAGAACGCCATGCAGTTACTACATGTCAAGTTGGACCATAGTTGTATGGGGGCGTGAAGCAAGAACATGTTGAAGGAGGATATATTCTAAGGTATTCTTAATTAAGCTGCTGCAGCGTTTGTTTGCAGTTGAAGGGCTTGGCAAAAATGCGGTTAGAATAACTGTAGGAAATTAAATGGAGTACTTTAAGATTCTTTGTTTAAAATTACAAATCTAAGACAAAGATTTTCAATTCAAGATTAAGAATCCAACCAACAGATCTCGTTTTTCTTTATTTTCTTTAACGTAATGACAAATTAACACAAACCTCTAATCTCTTTTTATTTGTTTAAGCCAAAGCTGTTTAATGGATATGCGAAGCTGTTAAGATTACACAAGATCGATACCGGAAAAGCACAAACATAATCAAAGTACTGAAAGTACTGAAAGTCCTGAAAGGCTAAACATATTACGTTGTCAATTTACATCATCTTTAAGCATTAAGGGTACCATCAAGCTAAGTCTGATCATACAAGTCATTATCATAGAATATTGAAGTGGGGGATTTCAAATGAAATTTACAAACAATAGAACAATATTTTACAAACTTGATGGCACCCTTAGTTAATCTTAGCTCGGTTAAGACTTCTAATATAAATATAAAAAACAAGTTAACAAAAGAAAGTGCAACAAACAATACAGGTGATTCAGATATTTCATTTTTACATTTATGATTTTATTATAAACATCAAATGTGCTGCCTCTGTCTATGAATTTTTTTTCCAATATCACTTGGTACTGTGAATGTAGCTTTTGGTAACTGAATAGCATGCCAAAACTCGAAATCCGTTTTCAATTCGGATTTTGAGGAATTGGATTATGGTGAAGATGATCAAAATGAAAGTAATAAAAAGTTTTACAATTGTAGCTTAAATTTATATAGAATGCCAAGCATACTTTACATTAGATTTACAACAGATAAGCGTTTTAAATATGCGTGTCAGTCACGGTTCGCCTTTTACGGGTTTGGGTTTATCTGTTAAATTAGTCATATATCAATAAAAAAAAATCATAGTGTTACTGATAAACAATTATCCTTCTACTGTAAGTTTTAAAATGGTTTTGAGTGCCGTTATTTATCACTGTTAGTTGCACGTGCGTCAGCCATGTTTAATCTGTTAAGTAGTGTTAAATATTTAGCTGTCTCGTAAACGATTTTAAAAAAACCGAAGTCAATACACTGAATAACACATACATGTATAGATATGAATCAATTACCCTTTGTAAATGTTTCTGCTGACAAGTATGAGCATCCCCATTCCCCGAGTACGAGATTTCAAAGGCGTTTGCTGAAAAAAATATACTTTTCGTACTTCCACGTACTATATATTATATATATATACAAGACCGTGGTATTTCATGGCTCTCAGCTAATATTACATAAAGGTCCTTGATAAAATGAAAGGGTGTAGTTCATTTGTATTACATCTAAAACATATTCAAACGTAATGTTCCAGTAGATCTATGTATGTGGTTAAAGGAAACAGCCAACACATTTTTTTTAGGGGCCGGTGTGAACGAGTAGGATGTTGGACCGGGAGAGGCCGGAACGACTTGGTTCGTTTTTATAGAATATGAGCTGCCCTCAAATAGTGTTTTGAACACAATAGTGTGAAAATATCACCTTTGATATTTGCCACAGTGTGAAAAATAACAGTTTTATCAAGTTAGTAGAATCCATAACAAATACAATTTAAACACAAACTTTCTGCAGTATTATGGTATCCTGTCAGCTCTTAGAAGATATATTAATCAAAACAATATTGGGCATTATACCACTGTAGGCTTAGTGTATCCAATGATTCCCCTTAATTTGGATTTTTTTTACAAAAACACCAAAGGAGCTAATGACTTTTATGTAATACTTTCTGAAAAGAAGATAATTCCAACTGGTAGGAAGAAATGGGTAGAAATATTTGACATTAGGGACAACAAATGGGAGAAAATATATCAAATTCCATTTCGCACAACTACTAATACAAAACTCCAGTGGCTCCAAGTAAGAATTCTCCATCATATTTTGACAACAAATATATATCTATGCAAAGCCGGTCTCTCTAATAATCCTTTATGTGTTTTTTGTAATCTAGATAGGGAAACAATAATTCATACATTATGGGAGTGTGCCATTGTACAAAATTTCCTATACAGTTTTGAAACATTACTAGAAGCTTTAATTATCCCATTTTCTTTTAATAAGGAATCCTTCCTTTTTGGAATAGTGTCACAGTCAGGAATAGGCAACAGACTAGATAATGAAATTTTGATTATGATCAAACACTATATTTATAAAACAAGATGCCTTCAAAACAATTTGTCAGTAAATGCTTTAATTAACAGCATAAAAGACCATTATTCTGTACAAAAATATATAGCATGTTGCAAGGGGGATAATTTTGTAACAAAACTGGAAAGAGAATGGAAAAAATGGAACCACCTCCTGGAATTATAAGCCAAAATTAAATAATTTAATATCATCAAGTCAGCAGATACAATACATCTCCTCCCACAGTATAGTTCTCTTTTTATATTTGGAAAATACACTGATGCACATACATGTAGCCAGCACACACTAAGTTTTAAGGACTTTTTTTTGCAGTTATGTCCCTTTTACCATACCTGTATTGAATCTTGCCTGAACTCTAAATATATATTTTTTGTCCCTTTTTTTGTGAATCTAAGTTGATGTTTCCGTCTGAACTTATTAAAGTTAATTTCTTTTATGATATAAATATATTTTGTCCTGAGTATTACCCTCATTTCTCAGTCACCTTTATATGGATGTATTTACTTGCAGTTTAAAGCCGAAAGCACCTTACTTACAATTAATACAGAAGATTATCTTATAATCTTATTCTAAACATAAAGTTTGTTTTTTATTGAGCTGCAGTGCAAAAACTAGTTTCTCCTTTTTCTTTCTCTTTCTGTTGACTTTCTCCGTTTTCAATGCTATTTTTTTTCCTTCTTCTTTTCTATTCTCTCTCTCTCTCTGTTCTCATAAAGGCAATGTATGTGTACATGGGTACCATTACATGTACTTGTGTCTAAATATATCAACTGATGTAAGTAAGAGTGAATATGAGTCGTGTGAGGTCTGAATATATAATATGAATTGTTTGAATGTAAATATACCATATATTGCAAAAAAATCTTGAACGTTATGTAAGGTGACCTGATGGTTTTTAAAGCAAAGCTGAGGAAATCACATGAACAGGATCCTATCTTTTGAAAGTCCCAATTTTCATAGTAGCAAATTAAACCAATTTATTATTCAAATAATTATTCAAAATGCCTCAGATTTGATTTGATGTTTTAGAATTTAGGTAACTTCCTGTTCTGCAGAAAAACTTTTTTTTTTTAATTATTATTAAGTTACGTTTATCTGTCTTGATATCAAACATATCTTCGGATAAACTGTTACGGTGAAAATGTTTTTTTCAGACTGGCCGATGTACAGAAGAAAGCCATACGCGGCTTCAAAAGTTTTGTCAGGGTGTTACACATATTATTGAAAAAAATGTAGGATTCCAGTAAAAATTGTTTGAGTTGTAGAAATTCTTGTCGACGTACAACATGTGTGTGCCCAGCTGTTTTTTTCTCTCAAACCCCAGCCATACACTATGCAGGTTACATTTTTGGTTCTCGGAGGCATTATGATTGGTTACTTTATACAGATGTTACAAATTATTCCAACCCTGTACAAACCCTAACCCTGGAAAAACTGCTATATGGTATAGGAATATACGTCCCAGAGTCTCAGACAGATAATCAATGTTTGATAGTTATGTGACCTCTGACATCTACTTTTCAATTTATTCAACCTTAAGGTAGCTTAAACTAGTCCTTCCTGGCGGCCATGCAAATCTTCCTGTTGCATTCTCTTTTTCCTTCGATTTTTTGCAGCTAGAATACGAAGCTTGAGTGCACATAGGAAGTTTTTACGCAGCCTTCTTCTATTATTACAAAGCGCACAAAGGAACTTCCTATGCGGCGTTCTATTGTCATCTTCTGGTTCGTAGGTCAAATGCTTGTAACCCTTGAGTCGAGGATTAACTTCGTTCTTTTCATTTGTATGACGAATCACAGTGACATTATATATATGGATGGAGTCGATGAGTGTAAGGATGAATTCAAGCCTTGCCATGGAACCTTCATCGGAACCATCCGACGGGTAAACGACAACTAGTGCTGCAGACTTCCTGACAAGGTCCTCAATGATACTGTTAACTGAAAAAAATATAACCAAGATAATAATGATATTATCAACCTTTCGGGAAAATGTCATACATTTCCGATACCTAAAAGGTATCTAAACTAAACGCAAATAGAAAATACATCAGGGATTGAGGAGACACCAAAGTAAAATGAAGGACAACATACATGTAAATGCCCACAAAATGATAATTTAAGAACTATAATCTTTAGAGGACTTTTGACTGTTTGGGAAATAAAAAATAAATAACATGAAGAGGAAGAGTAAATTTGAAGGTCATTTAGTAGAGTCAAAATGTGTATCTATGCCTAATTAATTAGCAATATGACACTAGTGGGTTTATGTATCGAATCAACTGCCAGTATCGACAAGCATTTAAAAAATTACATCCAAAGCTGCCATATGTCAAAACACCTTACTGTAGGTCAAAACCATCTACCAAGTTAATAATGGATAAAATTAAATTTAGTCCATGTAACTATTAGATTCCAAACTTGCATTTATGTGATTGATAATCCCAAAAATGGATATATTTCATTTATAATATTGTAATAAACAAGAGGCCCAATGGGCCTGCATCGCTCACCTGGTATAAAACTCACACTTGTAACCTTAAAAGTGATCTAAAATAAAGCTACAGGCAAAATATCAGTATTTATGATTAATATTCGTTCAAAAGACCCTGTTATTTTTTTTAAAAACATTTCACCCCTGTGATTGAAATTCAAACAAAGTCATTATGTTGAACACATTGTATAGCCTTTCATCTCAGGATGCAACTTGCAAAGTATAAACATCCTGGGACCCATGGTTATTCATAAGAGGTTGTTTAAAGATTTTAAACAAATTTGACCCCTGTGACCTTGAATATAAGTCAAAGTCATTCACTTTAACAAACATAGTAGTCCTTGATCCCAGCATATGCTACTAACTAAATATCAACATCCTGAGCCTTTTGGTTATTCAGAACAAGTTGTTGAAATATTTTAAACATATTTGCTCCTTGTGACCTTGAATATGATTCAAGGTCATACATTTAAACAAACTTGGTAGCCCTTGATCCTAGTATGCTACTGACTAAATATCATCACCCAGGGCATTTTGGTTATTCAGAAGAAGTTGTTTAAAGTTTTTAACATATTTGACCCCTGTGACCTTGAATATGGGTGAAGGTCATTTATTTGAACAAACTTTGTAGCCCTTTATCTCAGCATGCTACTGGCCAAATATCATTACCCTGGGCATTTTGGTTATTGAGAAGAAGTTGTTTAAAGTTTTTAACATATTTGACCCCTGTGACCTTGAATATGGGTGAAGGTCATTCATTTGAACAAACTTTGTAGCCCTTCATCTCAGCATGCTACTGGCCAAATATCATCACCCTGGGCATTTTGGTTATTCAGAAGAAGTTGTTTAAAGTTTTTAACATATTTGACCCCTGTGACCTTGAATATGGGTGAAGGTCATTCATTTGAACAAACTTTGTAGCCCTTCATCTCAGCATGCTACTGGCCAAATATCATCACCCTGGGCATTTTGGTTATTCAGAAGAAGTTGTTTAAAGTTTTTAACATATTTGACCCCTGTGACCTTGAATATGGGTGAAGGTCATTCATTTGAACAAACTTTGTAGCCCTTCATCTCAGCATGCTACTGGCCAAATATCATCACCCTGGGCATTTTGGTTATTCAGAAGAAGTTGTTTAAAGTTTTTAACATATTTGACCCCTGTGACCTTGAATATGGGTGAAGGTCATTCATTTGAACAAACTTTGTAGCCCTTCATCTCAGCATGCTACTGGCCAAATATCATCACCCTGGGCATTTTGGTTATTCAGAAGAAGTTGTTTAAAGTTTTTAACATATTTGACCCCTGTGACCTTGAATATGGGTGAAGGTCATTCATTTGAACAAACTTTGTAGCCCTTCATCTCAGCATGCTACTGGCCAAATATCATCACCCTGGGCATTTTGGTTATTCAGAAGAAGTTGTTTAAAGTTTTTAACATATTTGACCCCTGTGACCTTGAATATGGGTGAAGGTCATTCATTTGAACAAACTTTGTAGCCCTTCATCTCAGCATGCTACTGGCCAAATATCATCACCCTGGGCATTTTGGTTATTCAGAAGAAGTTGTTTAAAGTTTTTAACATATTTGACCCCTGTGACCTTGAATATGGGTGAAGGTCATTCATTTGAACAAACTTTGTAGCCCTTCATCTCAGCATGCTACTGGCCAAATATCATCACCCTGGGCATTTTGGTTATTCAGAAGAAGTTGTTTAAAGTTTTTAACATATTTGACCCCTGTGACCTTGAATATGGGTGAAGGTCATTCATTTGAACAAACTTTGTAGCCCTTCATCTCAGCATGCTACTGGCCAAATATCATCACCCTGGGCATTTTGGTTATTCAGAAGAAGTTGTTTAAAGTTTTTAACATATTTGACCCCTGTGACCTTGAAAATAGATGAAGGTCATTTATTTGAACAAACTTGGTAGCCCTTCATCCCAGTTTGCTTCTGGCCAAATATCATCACCCTAGGCCTTTCGGTTATTAAGAAGAAGTCATTTAAAGTAAAATATTGACGCCGGACGACGGATGGACGACGGACGCCGCACCACGGCATAAGCTCACTTTGCACTTCATGCCAGGTGAGCTAAAAATGTAAATGGTGCATTCATGCAAACTAAAACAAACAAGAGCCCCTGTATTGTTCACCTGGTTCTTTTGTTACATGAAACTGACATTTCGGTAACTTCAGACCAAATTTGGTAACTAGAATACAAGACATTTTAACATCTCTTAAACGTTTCTCAAGATATTGTTGTTTGAAATTTGAAATTGTAATTTGAAAGCTTTTCACCCACGTTGTCGTTCGACTCGGGCTAGCACTTAAAGTTGACATTTGACCTCATGACTGTAATTAAGAAAAAGATTTGCACTGCTTGTCTACATAACATACCCAAGATGCATGACTCTAGATCAAATGCTTCTAAGGATATCGTCGTTTGAAGTGTTTTACATTTTTGACTCCTGTGACCTTGAAAGTAGGTCAAGGTCATTTAAATGAGGAAAATGTATAGCACTCCATCCCAGGTACCTACTGGCCGAATAGTATGACCCTGTGCCTTATGGAACATGAGAAGAAGATTGTTAAAGCTTTTAACCCATGTTGACATTTGACCTCCGACTAGCACTTAAAGTTGACATTTGACCTCATTTCTGTACTAAAGAAAAAGATTTGCACTGCTGGTCAACATAACATACCCAAGTAGCATGACTCTAGTCCAAGTGGTTCTTAGGATATTGTTGTTTGAAGTTTTTAACATATTTGAGCCCTGTGACCTTGAAACTAGGTCAAGGTCATTTTTAAGAAAAACTTTATAGCACTCGATCCGATGTACCTACTGGCCAAATATCATAACCCTGGGCCTTATGGAACTTGAGAAGAAGATTGTTAAAGCGTTTAACCCATGTTGACATTTGACCCCCGACTAACACTTAAAGTTGACTTTTGACCTCATTACTGTAATTAAGAAAAAGATTTGCACTGCTGGTCTTCATAACATACCCAGATATCATAACTCTAGTCCAAATGGTTCTTAGGATAATGTTGTTTGAAGTTTTCAACATATTTTAGCCCTGTGAGCTTGAAAGGACGCCAAGGTCATTTTAATGAAGAATTTTATAGCACTCCATCCCAGGTACCTACTGGCCAAATATCTTAACCCTAGGTCCTCCAGTTCTTTAGAAGAAGTCGTTTAAAAGAACATGAGGCCCATGGGCCTTAACGGTCACCTGATATATTTATACAGAGAGTTGATTTTGTTTTTAACACAATCAGAAATATTATTCAAAGTGACAAAAAACAATAAAACCACCTTATTCAATATCTAGCATACAGATTTAAGACTAAAAAGTATTTGAAACTAGCACCTCTGATTCTAACAAGGAAAATGAAGAAATGTTAGCACACTGACTCCTTTGGGCCCCACTCTACAGCCCTTGGGGGTAGGGCTGGCGCCAAATTTTCAAAGTATCAAACTGTCAACTCAGGGTTATAATTCCAACAAGTTATGAACATGTAGTATTCAAAGTATCATTTGCCATTATAAACCATAATAAACTTTGTCTCAGGTGACCTAAAAAGTTGACGGACCGACTACGGACGACGGACGACACGTGACCTAAATACTATTGATAGCATATCGGAGGCCTGATTGTCTGAACAGTAAAATTGTGTGAGATAGACTCCATTAGTAACCCAAGGGAGACTACTGCTACATGGCAAGTCTACTTTTTTAAATACTGCATTTGAGATTAATCAGAATCCAAAGAAAACATATGATAATTAATACAGAGGGTGCATTTATCTTAGAACATACTTAGTGTTCTATATATATATTTACTAGAAATAACTGCATCACCTATCTTTCATTATGGTAAAGTCGGCGTAATAGTTTTTCTTAAATACTCATTTTATTAGCTCACCTGGCCCGAAGGGCCAAGTGAGCTTATGGCATGGTGCGGCGTCCGTCCGTCGTCAACATTTTACTTTAAACAACTTCTTCTCAGTAACCAATAGGCCTAGGGTGATGATATTTAGCCAGACGCATGCTGGAATGAAAGGCTACCAAGTTTGTTCAAATAAATGACCTTGACTTATATTCAAGGTCACAGGGGTCAAATATGTTTAAAACCTTTCAACAACTTCTTCTGAATAACCGATAGGCCTAGGGTGATGATATTTGGCCAGAAGCATGCTGGGATGAAGGGCTACCAAGTTCATCCATTTTCAAGGTCACAGGGGTCAAATATGTTAAGTTCTTTAAAAAACCTCTTCTGAATAACCAATAGGCCTTGGGTACATAAACTTGGCCAGTAACATGCTGGGATGAAGGGCTACCAAGTTTGTTCAAATAAATGACCTTGACTTATATTCAAGGTCACAGGGGTCAAATATGTTTAAAACCTTTCAACAACTTCTTCTGAATAACCGATAGGCCTAGGGTGATGATATTTGGCCAGAAGCATGCTGGGATGAAGGGCTACCAAGTTTGTTCAAATAAATGACCTTGACTTATATTCAAGGTCACAGGGGTCAAATATGTTTAAAACCTTTCAACAACTTCTTCTGAATAACCGATAGGCCTAGGGTGATGATATTTGGCCAGAAGCATGCTGGGATGAAGGGCTACCAAGTTTGTTCAAATAAATGACCTTGACTTATATTCAAGGTCACAGGGGTCAAATATGTTTAAAACCTTTCAACAACTTCTTCTGAATAACCGATAGGCCTAGGGTGATGATATTTGGCCAGAAGCATGCTGGGATGAAGGGCTACCAAGTTTGTTCAAATAAATGACCTTGACTTATATTCAAGGTCACAGGGGTCAAATATGTTTAAAACCTTTCAACAACTTCTTCTGAATAACCGATAGGCCTAGGGTGATGATATTTGGCCAGAAGCATGCTGGGATGAAGGGCTACCAAGTTTGTTCAAATAAATGACCTTGACTTATATTCAAGGTCACAGGGGTCAAATATGTTTAAAACCTTTCAACAACTTCTTCTGAATAACCGATAGGCCTAGGGTGATGATATTTGGCCAGAAGCATGCTGGGATGAAGGGCTACCAAGTTTGTTCAAATAAATGACCTTGACTTATATTCAAGGTCACAGGGGTCAAATATGTTTAAAACCTTTCAACAACTTCTTCTGAATAACCGATAGGCCTAGGGTGATGATATTTGGCCAGAAGCATGCTGGGATGAAGGGCTACCAAGTTTGTTCAAATAAATGACCTTGACTTATATTCAAGGTCACAGGGGTCAAATATGTTTAAAACCTTTCAACAACTTCTTCTGAATAACCGATAGGCCTAGGGTGATGATATTTGGCCAGAAGCATGCTGGGATGAAGGGCTACCAAGTTTGTTCAAATAAATGACCTTGACTTATATTCAAGGTCACAGGGGTCAAATATGTTTAAAACCTTTCAACAACTTCTTCTGAATAACCGATAGGCCTAGGGTGATGATATTTGGCCAGAAGCATGCTGGGATGAAGGGCTACCAAGTTCATCCATTTTCAAGGTCACAGGGGTCAAATATGTTAAGTTCTTTAAAAAACCTCTTCTGAATAACCAATAGGCCTTGGGTACATAAACTTGGCCAGTAACATGCTGGGATGAAGGGCTACCAAGTTTGTTCAAATAAATGACCTTGATTTATATTCTAGGTCACAGGGGTCAAATATGTTTAAAACCTTTAAACAACTTCTTCTGAATAATCAAGAGGCTTAGGGTGATGATATTTGGCCAGTAGCATGCTGGGATGAAGGGCTACCAAGTCCGTTCAAATAAATGACCTTGACCAATTTTCAAGGTCACAGGTGTCAAATGTCTTAAAATCTTCAAACAACTTCTTCTCAATAACCAAAAGGCCCAGGGTACTGATATTTGGCCTGTAGCAATCAGGGCTACCAAATTTGTTCTAATGAATGACCTTGACCCACTTTCAACCTAATGTCATTGTTTGACATTCAGGGTCACACTGATATTCTGCCTGTAGCTGTATTTTAGTCCACTTTTAAGATTGAGATTAATACCAGGTGAGCGATGCAGGCCCATTGGGCCTCTTGTTTGAGAAATGGCCAAAATCTGCAAAAAAACACTTACTAAATTGAGCAAAAATCCGTGTTTTTGAACAAATTTATTTCTACAGAACATGTTTCATTACCCAGGGCCTCTTGGTTATCCAGAAAATGCCTGTGACATTAACTTCACACTGCACCCAAGACTTTTTATTGTTTGAACAATACCTTTGACATTATCTACACAATGACACACTTTTTACACTGCTGTAACAATATGTTTACGCTGCCTGTTAACGTTATGTATTCTTTACTTGTGAGATTATCTGCATCGGCGTCATCTGCTTCCTGTGTTACTACATTGAAATCTGCATCTTTTAAGTCCGACTTCAAGCTTGTACCTATGTCACAGTCCCGACTAACATCGCAGTGGAATAGCATTGCATCGTACAGGTGAGGCTCTGTGAAGAAAACACAAAAAGTATATATACATCAATTTATCCAAACATTGAAAAAGACACTGGCACCGCCTTCTTCTGTTTACTTATAGTTATATACATTTTTACCTTTGTTTGCCATAACGATGGTGATTTTCCGAATGTATCATTCCATTGTTCCTTATCATTAGTATTTCACTAACATTCGATACTTTTACTATGGGTAGTTTCAACATAAATAATACCTATTACCTGTACAGTATTGTAATAATACACTGACCGGGAAAGATGTTCAAGTTCATCAATTAGGCAATGGGTGTATCTTCTATGGAACACTTCTGTACATTGAACACTGAGCATGCCTACCATTGAACACTGAGCATGCCTACCATTGAACAATGGAGAGGATGCACGTTTTTCATGTTTGAAAGCTGTTAGATGTTCGAGACATGGTAAACGATAATTTAAGATTATGACATCATACAAATTGAACGTTGTGACGACATCGATTATTGATGTAATAACAGTACACAAATTGTGCCGTAGGTAAAAATGAGCGTTGCAATCGTCGTGATTTCTTTTAACATTACTATTTGACATTCTGCGGCTACACAATGTGATAACGTCAATTAATTATTAGCATTTTCTTGAAAAATCAATTAATGCTATTTTATAGCAGATACGAAAGTTAAATTTGACCGGTAAAATGTCGTTTCTGCCTGTCTGTTACTCCATCAACTGTCTTAATACTAGTTGCTGGAATGAAATTATCTTTTCCGTATGTCAGGTGTGTAATCCTTGCTAGTTTAAATCAATTAAATTCTGTGTTGATCCAGCATTAACCCTTTCACCACTGTGGACCATAATGGACTCATCCATATCAATGCATGGTAGAATCTACTAAAGTTACATAGGGGTGAAAGGGTTAAAAAGTGGGATAACCGATTTATCTTTTTTAGATACCTTTTGATACTCGCGTAATCCAGTTAGATATTCTGTTTTCCGATGTTTAACATAGTGTTCAAAGGAGCCTATCCTTATTGATCAGATCATCGTTCATGGTGTCGTGAACAGTATTTCCGGTAAAGTTTGGTTTGGTTTTATCTTGTTTAAGGCCCTATTAAAAGCTTAGGTCATTTAAGAACGGGCCTCCGTGTCATGCTGGTGTACTTGCCTCCTTGTGATAGCGCGGATCTGATGCCGACTTTATAGTGCTATCTCGCTGAAACACCATGACAAAGGCACCCAGCACAGCATTCTGCCCTGTCGCATTATACTGACAACGGGTGAACCAGTTGTTGCCTGATTACCCTCATACTGAACGTTAAGCAGGGAATAACAACTATTTTTAAGGACTTTGGTATGTCCAGGCCTGGGGACAGAACCCATTGCCTCCCTCACCTTGGCGAACGCTCAACATTAAAGCCAAACTTGAGGTATTGCCAAGCAACCGTGTGCGTTGTGAATCGACATCTTTCGTTCTTGCATTTACTGGGAAGGGGTTAATGGTTTTGGTGATTGTTAATCGCAGAGTAAACTTAGGTATAAGCGGGCGATCATTTATAACTGTAAGTATTTCCTATACGAATGTGTTGAAATACCTGTCATTTGCAAGGGGTTTTTTAAGGAAATTTTTCGAAATGTCATTCTTGTGAGACTGATTTGGTGCTTTCACATTTCATGGGGGATAATTGTCCAGTTAAGGATCATTCTGACTTGCATCTTATGTGCCTTTGACGCTGACACGAACATTATAACGATTTTCGAGAACATCTTGTTCGGTGTGTCTTTGGTATGACTCCGTTGATAAGTCTGGCAATATCTTCAAATGAACTGCTCTGAATGTTGTACATGACATCAAGTTAACGCATATACATTTCTTCAGTCCCATAAGATGTGAAATTTTGAAACAGAGAAATGATAATTTGGTTAAGTTTGTTTTTTTGTGTTTTATGTCCCACTAACAGCCATGGTCATTTAAGGATGTGCCAGGTTTCGGTGGTGAAGGAAAGCCGGAGTTCCCGGAGAAAAACCACTGACCTACGGTCAGTACCTGGCGACTGCCCCACGTAGGCCTCGAACCCGCGACCCAATGGTGGAGGGCTAGTGGTAGCAGAATGTGAGACGCCTTAACCACTTGGCCACCGCGGCCCCCCAGAAATAATCAATGTATGTACTTGTAGTATAGAGGACTAAATAATGAGGGTGAGAAAATTATTGAAAAATAATTTTGGCTAGAGTTGATTCTTTTTCCAACATTTTCGAATCCTGAGTTATATATTGCAACATAATTTACAAACATGTGTTGATTATATCTATTCTACTATTAAACACTTTACATATTAGATACTGAACACAGGTGTAGTTATGAAAACTTGGCATATCAGGTATTGAACACCACTGTTACTATCATTGAACACCCAGTATATTAAGTATTGAACACTGGTGTTACTATCCTTGAACACCCAGTATATTAAGTATTGAACACTGCTGTTACTATCCTTGACCACCAAGTATATTAAGTATTGAACACTGATGTTACTATCCTTGAACATCCAGTATATTAAGTATTGAACACTGGTGTTACTATCCTTGAACACCAAGTATATGAAGTATTGAACACTGGTGTTACTATCCTTGAACACCCAGTATATTAAGTATTGAACACTGCTGTTACTATCCTTGACCACCAAGCATATTAAGTATTGAACACTGATGTTACTATCCTTGAACATCCAGTATATTAAGTATTGAACATTGATGGTACTATCCTTGAACATCCAGTATATTAAGGATTGAACATTGATGTTACTATCCTTGAACATCCAGTATATTAAGTCTTGAACACTGGTGTTACTATCCTTGAACACCAAGTATATGAAGTATTGAACACTGGTGTTACTATCCTTGAACACCAAGTATATTAAGTATTGAACATTGTTGTTACTATCCTTGAACATCCAGTATATTAAGTATTGAACATTGATGTTACTATCCTTGAACATCCAGTATATTAAGTATTGAACACTGGTGTAGCTAGGAATACTTGGTATATAAGTATTGAAGACTGCTGTAACTACCATTAAAACTTGGTGTATATAAGTATTGAACACTGGTGTAGAAACCATTGAACACTTGGTAAATTAGATATTGAACACTGATGTAGAACTATTGAACACTTGGTAAAAATATTGATTACGGGTGTAGAAACTATTGAACACTTGGTAAAAATATTGATTACGGGTGTAGAAACTATTGAACACTTGGTAAAAATATTGATTACGGGTGTAGAAACTATTGAACACTTGGTAAATTAAATATTGAACACTGGTCTAGATACTATTGAACACTTGGCATATAAAGTATTAAACATCTGGTGTACGTACCATCGTTGGGGAGTGGTATCCAGTTTCCCTTCCGTTCACACAAACCCTGTAGTTTACCCCGTAGTTTATACTCTATCTGTGGCTTGTGCAAATACACCATAAAAGTAGCTAGTAAGATTAGAAGCAGGAACACCACGGATGCACCTGCTGTAATCCCTCCGACCTTGATCTTGTCAACTGGGGTCATTTGAACGAACGTGGCTAGAGGGAAGAATACACACCATCTTATTAGAGTTTTACACATTCTATGTTATAATGAATTACAGATGCACATACATTTATGTAAATAACTGAAATTGCTATTATTAATTAACTGGAAACAAAATACATGGAATGTTAACATCACAACTATTGCTGACAGACCATAAGTAACATGGAGTATAGACAATTATAGAGACCATCATTAAATATAGAGTGATTATAATTACTTATAGTGTTAATTAGCATGAAAAACACCATTACTGGTAGAGGGTATCTTTATTAAACAAAACTGCATTAGAAATATGAAATATTATTTATAGCATCATTAATCAAAGGAGATATCATTACTTATAAGCATAACTATTTATACAGAGCATCATTAAAAATATATCACATAACTTATAGAGAGCATCATGAAACAAAACTAAATTAAATATTTAAAAGATAATAAATAGCATCTTTAATCAGAAGGAGATATAATTTTTTATGCAGAGCATCATTAAATATATCATCACCACTTAAGGGATCATTATCACTTCTCCGGTTAGAGTGAACTTTTTAATAAGTGTATGGAAAAAAATCAATCTTTATCATTACAGAATGCTATCTTTTTTAACACAAATCACTTTCTTAACTTATAAAGGAAATTTGAGGATTTTACTTAAGGATCCCCCTACAGTGGTACAGGGACCCCTTAAGGGGAGGTAACTGTATTTAGGAAAAACCACAGTGCAATGGGACAGGGATCCTTAAGGGGAGGTAACTGTACATAGGAAAAACCACAGTGCAATGGGACAAGAATCCTTAAGGGGAGGTTACTATATATAGGAAAAACCACAGTGCAATGGGACAGGGATCCTTAAGGGGAGGTAACTGTATATAGGAAAAACCACAGTGCAATAGGACAGGGATCCTGAAGGGGAGGTTACTGCATATAGGAAAAACCACAGTGCAATAGGACAGGGATCCTGAAGGGGAGGTAACTGTACATAGGAAAAACCACAGTGCAATGGGACAGGGATCCTGAAGGGGAGGTTACTATATATAGGAAAAACCACAGTGCAATGGGACAGGGATCCTTAAGGGGAGGTAACTGTATATAGGAAAAACCACAGTGCAATAGGACAGGGATTCTGAAGGGGAGGTTACTGCATATAGGAAAAACCACAGTGCAGTGGGACAGGGAGCTTTAAGGGCAGGTAACTGCATATAGGAACAAGAGTACCGCGGGGTGGAACAATATATGCCCGTCGAATGCCATATATATAGTGTTATATACTTTCTTACATTGAAATAAGATCTGCATCATTCAAAGATTGGTTAGCTGAAATGCTATAAAAATGTAGGAGGAAATCTCTGGATAAAAAAAACAAATACTGAAATGAACAAAGGGCAATAACTTTTGGAAAAATGGTTGAATCAAAATTCTTTAAAGGGAGACACAACTTCATATCATGATTATAATGTATACCAAGTTTCAAAGAGATCTGTTGAAAAATGTAGGAGAAGATTGCCAGACAAAAATCAAATACTGAAAAGATCAAAGGGCAATAACTTTTGCAAAAATTGCCGAATCAAAATTCTTTTCAATGAGACACAACAACATATCATGATTATAATGTATATTAAGTTTCAAAGAGATCAGTTGAAAAATGTAGGAGAAGATTGCTGGACAAAAATCAAATACTGAAATGAAAAAGCAATAACTTTTGCAAAAATTGTCGAATTAAAATTCTTTTCAATGAGACACAACAACATATCATGATTTTTCAGGCTACTAAGTTTCAAAGAGATCCGTTGCAAAATGTAGGAGGAGATTGCCGGACAAAAATCAAATACTAAAATGAACAAAGGGCAATTACTTTTGAAAAAAATGACGAATCAAAATTCTTTTAATGGAGACACAACTTCATATTATGACTATAATGTACACCAAGTTTGAAAGAGATCGGTCGAAAAATGTAGGAGTAGATTGCCGGACAAACAAAAGTTTACGCCGGACAAGCGGACGGACGAACGGACGGATGGACAACGCCATACCATAATACTGCTGTCAAATTTGACGGGTGTATAAAAACAACAGTGCAGTGGGACAGGAATCCTTAAGGGGAGGTAACTGTATATAGGAAAAAACCACAGTGCAGTGGGACAGGGATCATTAAGGGGAGGTAACTGTATATAGGAAAAACAACAATGCAGTGGGACAGGGATCCTTAAGGGGAGGTGACTGTATTTAGGAACAAGAGGCCCAGAGGGCCTGTATCGCTCACCTGAATATGTTTAAAATAATTGGTATGAAGTAGGTGCTGTAAGTACATATGAAATTTCAGAAAGATCCATCCAGTACTTGAGATATAGCGAGAACAAACTTCAAACAGAGCCCCACCCCTATATGCAACTTAGGGGGGTCATACCCACACCCACCATTTATACAAAATTGGTTCTCCTTTACCAAAGGATGCACCACACCAAATATGGAACAAATCCTTTCATTCCTACAGAAGAAGAAGAATTTTAAAGAATTTGCTATATTTCCCCTATTGGGCCTCACCTCTCAGGCCCCTGGGGTACCACACCCACAATTTATACAAAATTAATTCCCCTTTACCTAAGGATGCTTCTGACCAAATATGGAACAAATCCTTTCATTCCTACAGAAGAAGAAGAATTTTAAAGAATGATTTGCTATGTTTCCCCTATTTGGCCCCGACCCTCAGGCCCCTGGGGGGCCACACCCATGGTTTATACAAAATTGGTTCCCCTTCTCCAAAGGATGCTACAGACCAAATATGGAACAAATCCTTTCATTCCTACAGAAGAAGAAGGATTTAAAAGAATTTGCTATATTTCCCCTATTGGGCCCCACCTCTCATGCCCCTGGGGTACCACACCCACGATTTATACAAAATTGGTTCCCCTTCATCCAAGGATGCTTCTGACCAAATATGGAACAAATCCTTTCATTCCTACAGAAGAAGAAGGATTTTAAAGAATAATTTGCTATGTTTCCCCTATTTTGCCCCGCCCCTCAGGCCCCTGGGGGGCCCCACCCACGGTTTATACAAAATTTGTTTCCCTTCCCCCAAGGATGCTTCTGAGCAAATATGGACCAAATCCCTTCATTCCTACAGAAGGAGAAAGATTTTAAAGAATTTGCTATATTTCCCCTATTGGGCCCCGCCCCTCAGCCCCCTGGGGGGCCAGACCCATCATTTATACAAAATTGAGTCCCCTTGGCCTATTAGGATGCTCCAGACCAAATTTAGTCCAAATCTACTGGGCCGTTCAGGACAAGTAGCGTTTTGAAGGAAAAGTTTACGGACGGACGGACGGACGACGGTGGACGGACGACGGACGCTGCGCCATGGCATAAGCTCACTTACCCTTCGGGCAAGTGAGCTAAAAATCACAGTACAGTGGGACAGGGATCCTTAAGGGGAGATTACTGTATATAGGACAAGAGGCCCATGGGCCTTAATGGTCACCTGATATATTTATACAGAGAGTTGATTTTGTTTTTAACATGAACAGAAATATTATTCAAAGTGACAAAAAACAATAAAACCACCTTATTCAATATCTAGCATACAGATTTCAGACTAAAAAGTATTTGAAACTAGCACCTCTGATTCTAAACAAGGGAAATGAAGAAATTTTAGCACACTGACTCCTTTGAGCCCCACCCTACAGCCCTTGGGGGTAGGGCTGGCTCAAAATTTTCAAAGTATCAAACTGTCAACTCAAGGTTATAATTCCAATCAAGTTATTAACATGTAATATTCAAAGTATCATTTGCCATTATAAACCATAATAAATTTTGCCCCCCCCCCCCCCTTCCCCAGGGGGTAAACGTGAGACCCTAGGGTCATAAACCTTAAGACCCTTCCATCTATGAAGAGTATTTGATTCTACCATATCTGGGTCTTGAGAAGAAGATTTTTGAAATTTCAGTAAATTCGACCCTTTTTGGCCCCACCCATCAGCCCCTGGGGGTCAGTCAGGGCTGATATGTGCTTATTATCAAACTGCTACCTAATACTGATAATGCTAACCCAAATTGAATTACTTCCAATGGAAATTAAACAAATGTTGGTCCAAAATGTGATTTCCCTATATAAACTATAGTAAAGTTTACCCCCTCCCCAGGGGGAAACGTGAGACCCCAGGGTCAAGAAATTCACAATTTTGGTAAAGCACCTTAAGACCCTTCCATATATGAAGAGTATTTGATTCTACCATATCTGGGTCTTGAGAAGAAGATTTTTGAAATTTTAGTCAATTTGACCCTTTTTGGCCCCACCCATCAGCCCCTGGGGGCTTGGGACTAAACCGGCCACTATTTTTGTTGACCTTTGTCCATGGAAGGTCCCTGCAAAATTTCATTGAAATTGGTTCAGGGGTTTTGGAGAAGAAGTCGAAAACGTAAATTGTTTACGGACGGACGACGGACGATGGACAACGACGGACAAAAGGCGATCGCAATAGGTCACTTGAGACTTTGTCTCAGGTGACCTAAAAAAAACACAGTGCAGTGGGACAGGGATCATTAAGGGGAGGTAACTGTATATAGAAAAAAAACACAGTGCAGTGGGACAGGGATCATTACGGGGAGGTAACTGTATATAGGAAAAAACACAGTACGGTGGGACAGGGTGGTAAGTCCAGTTTCCAACATCACAATTATGACGTCGTAATTATGACTATGTCAACACAATGGCTGTGGCATTTACAGTCTATGTGAATGCCATCCAAACTTGTTATATAGTGTTATATAGTGGCAGTGCCATAGATTGGTAAATATAGTTAATAATTTTAATAGTTTAAATGCGTCTTCAGGCGTAAATGCATTAACAAAGATAAACATCATTATTAGTGGTGGCATTATCTTTTGATGAAAGAATAATTAGTGAATTAAATTCTTTAAATTATCCGACAAGAAGTTTTCAGATATATATACACAGTGTTTAGTTGTCCTTAGTTGATCACAGAAAGTAAAAGAT